ATGGTAACTGTTTATATTGTAAGAGAAAATTGTTGACATGGCTGCCTGTATTCTCTTCGTTTGTTAGTATACTACGCCGTGTACAACTTTGTTGAACAGCGCAGGTTTTTTTTTGTAATGAGAGTCAGTTTTATTTTCATATATGTTAACTGTACCTGTTCATTATGTTTTGTTTAAACCTGTACGAGGCCAGAGTGGCAAAAATGTGCAATAAAGGTGTCATTCATTTGTTCAATTATTATGTTTTTTCGCTGCACGAAATACGCACCATCCGACCTGAACGCGATCATTTGATCCGCCATGATGTGACTACGGTTGATAAAAATCAATTAATTCCAACCTCGATGAAGAATTGAATCGTGCCGCGAGTGGCAAAACCCCGGTTTACCTGATGTGTAACGGGACTGCCGTTCCCGCTGTGCTATTTCTCTAGCCTGGTATTCAGTCGTAAGTGGTAGGGTTTCCTCGGGGTTGAAGGAGCTCTTTCCCGCTCGCCTCACATGCCCGTAGCCAGGATTTTGAATGGGGGGTTCTTCCCACTGTTTGAGGGGACCTCGAGCGCCATAGGTTCCTAGGGGGTCCGGGGGCATGCTCTGGAAAATGAACCTTCTAAAATGTCATTTCGTGCATTTTTGAGAGGATTTCCAAGAAAAAATCAGAGATAATTTTTTATTCAATGACAAAGGGAGCAGTTTTTCTACGATTCCAATCTATCTTTTCAAGAAAAATCTTGGACCTTTACATAAAAAGTGGACCAAAAAGTAGTCCTTTACATAAAAAGTGGACTGAAGAACGTCTGTTGCGCTGGGCGGGGGAAGCTATTTAGAGCCCCGAAGACACAGCCTGCCTGAACACCCCAACAGGCCTCAATCACGTAAGGCTGGATACCAGGCTATTATTCCTCACGTACTGCACGGCTCTCAACATATCCTGTCAACGTACAGACATCCTGTCTCTTGTTGTGTGTCTCCTGTGGATTGTAATTACTGCTGCTTTCCACGTCCTCGACGAAAAGCGGGAGTGACACTCACGTTTTGTGAATTTCCATGGGTTACAATTAAATGCTTCTTGAAAATGTATTTTGCCGATCCTCGCTTTTTAAAGCTTTTTCTTTTGGCGACTGGCCGCAACATCTTCGATCTGACATTTGGATGCCAAGCTCTTTCCCCGGTTTACAATAAAATGCTATTTGAAACAATTTTCTTTTGCCGACCCTTGCTTCTTTAGCTTCTTTTTTCGGTTGACTGCTAGTGAGGCTATAACATTTTTGATCTGACATCTGAATTTATTTATTTATTTTATTCACATGGATTTTTGAGCATTGGATAGGAAGCACTTGTTGTGCTTATGTAAATCCGCTGCTCATAAAACATAATACAAATGTAAACATAAAGATGACATAAAGTATAGCATTAACATAAAATGAAAGTGGCTGTGGCTGGCGCACCAATACCTAGCATAACATTATTGAGATTGTTCAAATCTTCCAGAGTGGTGGATATAGTTAAACACAATATCAAAGATACGGCAGTTTGTAGGGTATGGGAGGGAGGGGCTACCTGTAAGAAGTAAAGTACATAATGTGGCGTCGTTTACGTTGAGTGGGTCGGAAGGAAGTATGTTCTGAATTTCAAGCCCTCTGAGACGTTACTTCACGTATTTTAAAGGAAGTTTATATTGAGAAAATCAAGTGAAATATTGGTCCCTTCTCCACAAGACAACAGAGGGACGGGTCCGAAAAAGGGAATAAAAAAAATATATATAAATAACAGAATCTCTATATAACCCTTATTTCTTTTTTTACTCTTTTTACTTTAATATTTTCAATATTTTGTACTGAAAAATCGGAGGCACAACATTTGTTTTCCTAGGCCTGTGCTGTCTTACACAGCCAACGTCCCCGACCCTTAAGAAGAGGATTGAAGAAGGTGAAGGTGTCTGACAAGGCCATTAACGTCTTCTTTTTCTGATATCACCATGGTAACCCATCCACACGTGCTGCTTACTGACACACACGTGATGTCTGTGTGCACGTAGCGTTGTAACTTCCTGTGGTTAAGCAGGTAATGACATTATTACATCGAGAAGCGTGCGCCAATCATGGCTGAAGCACGAACTGCAATTCACTCACTTACTCAGCTCCATATGCCCCTCGGTAGACAGCAATTTAAACTGTAATTGCAGTTTAAATGTGGGGTCGTGTGGCGCAGTCGGTAGCGCGTTCGGCTCACACCCGAGAGGTCGTTGGTTCGAACCCTGCCCATGTCACCGATCTTGTGCCCTTAGGAAAGGCACTTTACACGACTTTCCTCACTTCACTCAGGTGTAAATGAGTACCTATCTTCGGTTAGGGACGTCCCTTGGATAGGACGTTAAATGGAGGTCCCGTGTTTGGGAGATCCACACCCCACGCACGTTCCCGGTGTGAGTGGTTCAAACCTTACAGTCTGGTCTCAGGTTTGACATCTTTGAAGAGGTGATAGTCACCTGTTACGTCAATCCTTCCACAAATGTGGTAAATCGTCATAAAATAAAATAAAATAAAAAAATATAAAAAAATAAATATAGATTTAGCTAGCGATGATGTACTACTGCACTTGTTGACAGCTAGTTCCGCTCTACGACACATCTTCACCTTTACATATCATTGGTTTATTTCAAACACAAACACAAATCACAATACAGCTCCATCACTAGGCAGCCACAAGGCTGAATTGTGTGAATAAAAGCGTTAAACAGTGAAATAAAATCCTGGTCATCATTCCGTGTCTTAAAAACAGTCATTACATCATATTAAAATCATACATTTACACAGACTATTCATGATTTAAAATGTGAACAAGGTACGGTAATGTACTTCTGTTGTACCGCTCTGTGCGCGCTGGCAATTGGTCAAGTTTTGCATGTTGTCTAGTCATCCTCCCACTGACACTGACTTTACCTACGAAAAGGTCTAGGAAAAACAATCGATTTTTAAACACTTCAATCCTTTTATTCCTCGATAATAACCTCTGGTAATTGAGGGCATGTCTACTTCTTGTTCTATTCTGAGCTGGATTTAGCTCCGTAGTAGTTGGTACGTCCATTAGTTTAAGAGTCATTCTGTACATCGTCTGTCTTTCTGTCTTCTGTCTTTCAGTGACACCCACGGTTTGTTTTCATGTCTTGCCGCGGGTATTTCTCTCACGCATTGCTTTGGAGGATTCTAGTTAACACCCACGCTCTTCCCCAATAAACAACAAGTAGGGTCGTGTGGCGTTGCGGCAGAGTGCTCGACTCGGAACCACTTTACACGACTTTCCTCATTTCGCTCATGTAAAAATGAGTATTGTATTTGTCCCGTGTTGGTGGCGGCATTAATATAAGTTGAAAAAAAGACTTGAGTGTGCCGTCACCACGTCTTGTGATCAGATGTTGGGAAGAAAATAAATAAACAACAAACCACCTGCACCTCTGCACATCAACTAAATTTAAAAAAAAACTCATTTTTTTGTTTTCAACCCAAGGAGCCTGTTATTCGGCGACCCTTGCTGATCGTTGATTGCAATAACAGAACCTTTTGACAGAACTTGAATCACGCTGCTTCCCTCCGGCGGTTTTGCAAACCACAGGTGCTACCTGTTTGTCTGTACCACAGCAAGTAATTTCTATGGATGACATCAGCGCGCGCATCAATTTTCGTCTGATTTTGGAAAAAAAAGAAGAAAGTTTGTTGCCCAGTGGTAAACATATGCCGAAAATGGGCAAAGATGTCTGTTGCCATGCCGGAATGTGGATGGAAGGCAGATAACAAATATGACCAGAGGAGACAAGACAAGGCTCTGGTTTATTGTTTTGTCTTTTACTTTGATGCAGTTGTGTATTTTATTCCTTTTATATGTGATCGTGTCTGTATATATGTGATGTTTCCACTTAATCAAACCATTTGTACTATGATTGAAAACTTATTTTTCAAAGTTGTTTCAGTGAAAAATGGATGTTGTAATAGTTGGCAGTAAACCTAGCACAATATAGGTATCATTATTGATTTAACAAGGTTTATGGTGTCAAAACTTGAAAATGGAAGAATCTTGTTTTTTGGACAGCCTTGTTTTTTCCGCCTTGTCGCATTAGATTTGGAGTTTGAGGAGGATGGCATCCGTAGAATTTACTCACTGTGGCCTAATGCAAAGATTCAAAGCAATTATCAACGAGTACGTTGCTACTTGAATCGCTCAATACCATAGCAGGCCGCAGAGCGGCATACATTAGAGACTGAAAAACAGAGACCAGTGTCGTTTTCTAAAACATTTTTTTAATACAAAATCAGCAAAATCTGTAAAATCTAGTTACAGAATAAGGAGGAACTATTTACGATCCATTAACTGAGAAGTGCCAAGGTTATGAACTGGCAAACAAGTATCCAGAAGCACATTGCAAATATAATTCATTTGTTGTACCCTTAATCCAAAGGGTCAAATGCCGTATGGTTTTTATATTACTATTGTTGTGTGGTTGTTCTTCCACCAATAATACCCTACGCTATTGATAATTTTGTATAAGATTAAATCCTACATAGCCTACAAAACATATTCTTCCTCACCATTTATTGATCCATTTCCACCCGTTTGCTGTTCTCTGTTGATTTTTGTCATGTCTTTTGTCACTGTATACTTGTATGTTTGGTGGTGAGGGTAAAATTAGCTATAGCTAGAGTACCTCACCACCATGTCCTGTATTATCCATGTCGAATTGCAAATAAACAAAAATAGTGATATCCTAATGTCGTTGTCACTCTATGGAGTCACACAAAAAATCTAAAGGCTGCTTGTTTCTAACTTTCAGATAATCTGTCAGATTGGAACAGGGTGACCCCCGAAAATACGGGTTTCCCCAACATGGCAGCATGGCAGCCTAATGTCGTTGGTCAGTGAAAACAGTCCATGGAGTCAAACAAAAATCTAAAGGATGCTCGTTTCAAATTTCAGGTCATCAGTCAGACCTCCGAAGGTTTCCCCAGCATGGCAGCCCAAGCCGTCGCTAATCTGAACCTCCGTCGCGGCCCGGCGCTTTCACAAAAAGTCGCCAAACGTCACCGAAAAAAGTCGCCAAATGTCACAGGACAAGTCGCCGGCGGCCTCCTGAACCACTTCGTGACTCGCCACGCGAACGCCGCGTACGGCCTCGCCAAGAACGCCACGGACATCGCGGCAGAGGGCGCCAGCAGCCTGGCCAAAGCCGCAGGTAGGTTTGTGTAGAGGGCTGTGAAACTCTGGAATTCTCTACCTACAGATGTTAAGTCCATCTCCCATGTCAAATACTTTACCAACAGGGTGGTGCAATTCATAAAAGTCAGACAGCTATCTTCAAGGTAGAATTCATATGTTTTTTAAAGATTGCCATGTAAACAGTTAAGGTTTTTATGCGACATGTAACTCCTCTGTTTTTAAATGATTCATGCTGTAAGTTAAGTGTAAATATGTAGGATTGTGTCTGTAATTGTGATGTTACATGTATTTGTATTGGAACCCTGGAAGAATAGCCCATAATGGGCTAAAGGGTATCTCAATAAACTGAAACTGAACTGAAACTGCAGGCGACGCCGGCCTCTGCGAGTTCGTCTTCACCAACGTGACCACGGGAAACACGACCGTGGAGGTGGCTAGCTACGACCCGGCAGCCTGCGGTCTCTACAGCCTCTTCCCGCCCATAAAGTACCTGCTGGTCCTCTATATCCTGGTCGGCATGATCTGGTCGCTCTTCGGCAACGGTTGCCTGATAGGCGTCATCATGACGGACGAAGACATGCGGGTAGGTTTGATGTTTTATTAGATATCCATTAGATTAGATAACAAATCTAATCTATTCTTCTTGGATTCATAAAACACAAATGTAATGCAAATTAAGACACATAACATAACATAACACTTGCATCCATTAGACCATAGTAGGTGGTTCTTAACCATCGTTTCTACCTTACCTTAGGCCCGGTTTACACAGAGCAAAATATATTTGTCGTAGGACATTGGACGCGCGGCGCAAGGTGTACGACACATTGTTTATGCGTGTAAACAGGTCCGCCACCGACGCACGTCGCCGCGTCGCCATTGTGACGAAAGTTGGTATGTGGGTAGGCATTGGAGAGGCAAATATCAATGGTGATCTTGGCCCTTCTAGCAGCTCCGTTGTGTATTGCAGACGTACCTTTTTCTTACCATCAACGAACCTCTTTTCCAGGAACATGGGAACATTTTTCTGTGCGCCCTGTCCGTTTGCCACATTGCACAGAACCTGATGTACCTCCCCAGCACCATGCACTGCCTATTATAATTAATAACCAGCTTAGAAATTAATGAATAGCAAAGTTCTTTTTATCACAACCATTTATTTTTCAAGCCGACGTTTCGATGACTTTCTGTCATCTTCATCAGGGCAACCAGTCAGAATTGCCCTGACGAAACGTCGGCTTGAAAATAAATGGTTGTGATAAAAAGAACTTTAGCTATTCAGTCGTTTACCAACCTGGTGAAATTATTTACGGATGTTAGAAATTAATAATTAACAACGAGCTTCTCTTTCAGGAGCCTGGCAACATCTTCCTGTGCGCGCTGTCCGTGTGCGACATCGCGCAGAACCTGATGTACAGGTTGTAATTTACCGTTTTGATAGAATTTGCATGTTCTTTATAGTTACCTTCATTTTACATTTGTATTGAGAGTTGTTTTTAATATTGTGAGATTTACTTCTATTTTAATATATGATATGATGACTTGTTACCTTTATGTTTTAAATTCCGATATTGTATTTTTTTAAAACCTGAGCTTCGTTTTGTAAATGTTAACACCCTAATTCAGCCTATGGGCTGCGAGATGTGTTTGACATGTTAGTTTATGTACATGTATGTATGTATGAACAAATAACATTTAAACGTATCATGCTCACCAAACAACCAAAGGCCTTGTACGACAAAATCACATTCCAATCTGAGATCCACAAGTACAGCACACGTTCAACCAGCACAAACAAAATCAGACTACCAAAACCAAAATCAAACTCTCAGAAAAAGCGCTTTATGTACAGGATGTCACACACGTGGAATAACATAGGCAACTAGCAAAGTACTGGATTGTAAATAGTGAATTTGTGTAAAGTTTGCCATGTACTGTTAATTTTGTAATGTTTTTGTACGTTTGTAATATATGTATGTAAATATGAATGTGAAGACCACAGGAAGAATAGCCTCTTATGAGGCTAATTGTGGATCTGAATAAAACTGAAACTGAAACTGAAATAAACCATTACTACAGCCCCAGCACCATGCATAGCCTGCTGACGGGAGAACCCTCCGGCTGGCTCTGGATCCGGATCCAGGCCTTTCTGGTCTCCTACCTGTCCTGCCTCACCATCTACCTGCAGGCCAGTTTATTACTTAATAATATCTTTATTTGCAAAATCATGCCCGAAGGCTAATTGCTTTTACAATCAAGAATAAAACACATTGCAATACAGTAACAGGAGACAAGTAACAACTGTCTGGAAAAAACTTCTACTTCTACTACTACGCTAGCTATTATGGGGTTCGACTTCTTCTTTGAAGGCAGTGGATAATGAATAGTCCACATTCTGCATAATTAGTGGGTTTTGTGATC